AAAATAAGGAATTTTCTCTTTGATCTTTGGAAGATCCTTGATAATGAGAATAAAAGTGAAAAAAATAAGAACTTATGAACAGAAAAAAAAAGACTGGGTTCATGGACCCTGCTAATATTAAGGATTAAACTAGTCTAAAAAGCCAGATGTGGTGGCACACACCTGTAATCTCAGCATTTGGGAGGCTGAGGCAGAAGGATTGCTGTGAGTTTGAGACCAGCCTGGGCTACACGGTGAGTTCCAGGTCAGTCTCACCTACATGGTGAGACCCTGTCTCAAAAAACAAAAACAAAAACAAAACTAGTCTAAAAAGCTCTCAATCTTTTATCACTCACAGAATTCTCTTCACTCTCTTAGTTACAAGTTTCTCCCCCCAGCAAGCCGCTGAGTCACTTCTATGTGTCTAAATGAAATCTTTTAGGAATTGATGCACTATTTGTCCCATTGCTACCTTGCAATGCTGTGTCTGTCCCTAAAGGGGAACAATTTTTTTAATGAAATCTTAAGTCAACATGCTGAAAACAAATGAACTAAACAGCTAATTTACTCATTATACTCATTTATGTTTAATATATATATCTATATATAGATATATATTTTGTTAACTGGTGATATAGTTTGGAAAGATTCTGCTTTTGTAAATTGGCCAATTTGTTAAAATTAGTTGAAAATCTGAGAACCGTTCATTCAATGAATTCATGACAGGGTAAATTGGCCCTTGAAGTTAGGTTCGACAAATTCAAATTTTAATAACATGCTAAAATTAAGCTCTCTAAGTTCTTGACAAATTAAAGGAAATAACTTGAGAAGAAATCTTACAACTGTTGTTTTGATAGGTTAAGAAGAAATATGCAGAGATGACATGAGTGGAGATGAGAACTAAATCCCATTGACATAAAGGCAGAGGAATGACAGACCCTACAGCACAGACGACACAGGCACATTCCTAGAAGACACAGAGAAGGCAGATGGCCTAAATCTGTGGTTCTAAACCATCAGTGCCCAAGGAAATCATCTGAGGAGATTTAACAGGTCCTACCCTCAGCTAACCAAATTTGAGGCTGGGGGTGGGTGTGCTATATTATAATTATCGAGATTATTATAAAAATGTAATCTAAATTTCAGAGGATAAATTAGAAACAATTAAATTTTGGAAGCAAAATTTATAGAATTATAACTAACTAATGTGCTCAAATAGGAATAGAAAGGAAGTGCCCTGCTTAACAAGCCAAACTTTCTAGTCCATATACTGCTCTTGTGGCTGGTGAAGGTACTATAAACAGAAGGGAGAGGTAATTATGAAATGTAGAGCAGGACTTTCTCACCCATTCTCTCATTTGATCCTCTCAACCTGTAAGGTAAACAGAACAAATCCTAACTCCAACTCATACGTAACAGAAATGAGGCTCAGAGAGGTGTCCCTATGAAGAGCCAGAATTCACAACCAGGTCCTCTAAATCCAATTCACCAAATCCCAATCATACTTTATGACAGCTAGAGGTCACTTGGCTTTTACAAGACTGAGGTGTTTTGATTCAGTAAATCTAAATTTAATGCTTTAGACTGTATGGTTAATGTCTAATGGCCATGAAAGTACTATGTCAAGAAAGTGTTCCATTAGATTTTTGTAGCGCATACAGGTAGAAGTCAGATGTTAGTAGAGAAAAACATTGGAAAGGTTTCAGAGACTCATTTATGGAAGATCAGCTGTGCAAAAAAATAATCAGAACAGAACCAGAACAGAACAATGAGGGAAGGGTGATTCTGATGGCTTTTTGCTGTATGATGTTCAAATATAATGCAATTGGGGCCAATGATAGGTTGAAATCATTCCCTAATGTTAAATAATTAACATGAGACCATCTGAGGTATTTATATTAGTAGTGCTAATAGTGACAATTTATATTCTCTCCAGCCTTTCAACTCAGATCAAAGTTTATTAAAAGCCCTAAACAAACCTTATAAACACTTGCATAAGTGGCATTAGAGCCATTATGTAGACATAAAATAAAAAAGATCTACTAAGACATTTAATATAACTAAGCCAGATCAAGACAGAACTAGCACGCAACCTAAGGGCATGCCCATCTTTTTCCAACATTCAGAAGAAAGAAAATTAGATCAAAATTGCTTTATGGAAATCCCTTTACCAGTAAGTTTAGGGCATATTCTGAATGTGGTCCAAGAATGTCAGTTCAGGTGTCTATTTCTGAGTTTGCTTCTTGCCCTGCTCAAGATAAACATGGAATCTGCTTACTAATTTTCTTCCTCTTCATTTTGTCTCTCTCTCTACGTGTCTCTTACTCATATCTTTATTTACCATCACCAGGCGCGAGAAAAGGCGATGGAATGCAAACAACACAATGTTACTAACCAGGACAGTTGAATTCTAGCCCTAGTTTTACTACACTTAGAAATTCCTAAGCTTCTCTGGTCTCCAGATGTCTTATGTCTGAGATGGGGGGTTTTGATAAGGATCCCTAAGACTCCTTTCACTTCTAATAGTCTCTACAATGTGAGATCCATGGCTTCAGAAACCTAGTTTGTTACACACTCTAGGACAGTACTGAGACACGGCAAAAACTGAATACATATTTGTGGCAGAGTACATAATGAACCAGAGAACCTTGTTTGATATTAACTACTGGCACGGTGGAAATTTTGTGATGATCAGGTTTTAATTCCTCTGATTAGACCAGAGCCGATTAGAAGAGCTTTTACCATATTTACCTAGTCTGGCCCAATAAATTAAAAATAAAAAAGAAAACAAATAAAAAAAATGATTATCTTGCCCTAGCTATGATGGAGATGGGACCCAACCTGAACTTTCTAATGGTTAATTACATAAACTATTATATCACTCTCCACCATTCAAAGCTAGGGAAGAATATTTATCAGCTAAAAATTTATATAATTTATTAAAACTGAATGCACAAGCGGCACTTCTGGAGGTCTCGCGGATCTGTCCCTTGCTTCAACAGTGTTTGGAATGAACAGACCTGGGGACTCCCACTTTTTCATCTTCTATCTACCTTCCAGCTACAAGTTTCGGGACCATCATCACCTCGCCTGTCTCCTGCTTCCAGGACCAGCCGTCACTGTTCTTTTGTGGGTAGCTCCTTATTGCTGACCAGCCATGACTTCTCAGATTCATCAGAATTATTCTACAGAGGTGGAGGCTGCCGTCAACCGCCTGGTGAACCTGCACCTGCGGGCCTCCTACACCTACCTCTCTCTGGGCTACTACTTTGACCGTGACGATGTGGCTCTGGCAGGTGTGGGCCATTTCTTCTGCGAATTGGCCAAGGGGAAAGGAGAGGGCACCGAACCTCTCCTGAAAATGCAGAACCAGCCCGGTGGCCGAGTTCTGTTCCAAGACGTGCAGAAGCCTTCTGAAGATGAGTGGGGTAAAACCCTGGACGCCATGGAAGCTTCCCTGGCCCTGGAGAACCTGAACCAAGCTCTTCTGGATCTTTATGCCTTGGGCTCAGCCAAGACAGACCCCCATCTCTGTGATTTCCTGGAAAACCACCTTCTAGATGAGGAGGTAAAGCTCATCAAGAAGATAGGTGACCACCTCACTAACCTCCGCAGGCTGGCAGGCCCCCAGGCTGGGCTGGGCAAGTACCTCTTTGAAAGGTTCACCCTCAAGCATGACTAGGAGGCCCCAGAGCCCAGTGGCCTCTGAGGGGCTGCTGCTCACCAGCATTACGGCTTTGGCCTAACCCTCTCCCCTCCAGCCACTAGGCAGCTTTTTCACCTCTGGAGCCCCCTCCCAAATATTGAACCAAAAGAAAATAAAGCCTTTTGTAGAAAAAAACAAACAAACACACACACACACACACAAACTGAATGCACAAAGTGAAAATTCCTCAAATCAGTTTTCAGTACCCAAGACACACTACTCCTATGTACCAGACATATATTAAACTGTAAATACTGATATTTTAATAGTCAAGACAGGGTCTTTAAAAATACCGTAATATGCTAATACTCTGAGAATTCTCACAGATAAGCTCTTTGAAAGACACTAGAGACATTTCTACTTCGTATTATTTGTATTATATTTTCAGAAATATATTTCAATTGTATATTATCTTCACAGTATAAAGCAAGAGCTCTTTTTCCAGAGAATGCACTGGGTTATTGATAGTGTTTAAGACAGGACAGTAAAATACATTATCGAGGCAGTTAGACAGGCAGTATAACTACTTATCAACATCAAATATGGAGCTGTCAGTCTGACCTCCAAACACTGAGCAATTCAATAATACTAAATTCATCTGCTGGTGAAGCTGCAGGTATAATGCAGTTTCTCAATGATACTTTCCTTATGTCACCCCTTTCATGAAAAAATTTGACAGGGCTGTAAAAAACAATTTTTGTAGGCTAAAGTATGTCTTAAATTTTTAACTTGGTCATCACCTCTTGTCATAAGGTTGCAACTCTACATGAAGTTAGCAAACTTGTTTAGCAACATTTAATTCACTTGACCATAAGCAGTTGTGCTTTAGAGGGTTAACCCTTTGAACATGACCCCATTATGGGAAAAGATACCTATTTTATTACTGGCTAGCACAGAACAATAGCTCTGTATTTGGGGACAAGGTGGAAAAAGGAGAATGTCTAGATTGTTTTATCCAAGATCCCTCATGAGAGATTCATGAGGATATTTCCATTTGCCCTCGATGCGAATATACAGAAGGTAGACCAACATTAGAGCAGTGGGAAACTTGGCAGAATGGGCTAGGACAGGGTTTGTGCAAAACCTTTTTCCGGTTTCAGTTTGAATGGGTTCCCAGGAAGTGTCAAGTCCAAACAAATCCAAAATTTTACAATGTGTCTCAGCCAAAACTGCTGAGATTCACCTGATTCTGGGTCAAAACTGTACAGAGCACACTGCGTTTTATTTGGTGGAAAGCCAATCGGATTGAACCTTTCAGGCAACTTCAATGAGAAGCTCATAGCCTTGGCAAAACCAAAAATGAACCTAGCTTGATTTTTTGTTTTGAAATAACCACTTCAGGCTTTGTAAGAAGATAAAGGCAAGTTTTACTTAGCTTCAAGATTTTTCTAGGAGATTTTTAGGAGAGGCAAATAATTAACAGTTATTTGGCCAGATTTACATACTCAACTCAGTGTTCCTGGGCCTAACAGGAGCACTGTAACAAGAACATTAACTCATTTGGGTCCACAGATTCCAAAGCGTCCTAGAGCTCAATTCTGTGTGTTAATAAAGAATGATGACTGCTTCTTCAACAACTCTGTGCCTGTTGGTCAGTTTGCACATATAGGGGGATGAAAGACAATTAGTGCCAGATTCAGGATAGGAAGTTAAGACTGTAACACCAGCTGGCTACTCAGAGACAGTAGAAAGAAACTATCTACAGTATTACTTTGTAACTTCCATACTGACATATGAGCATACTCATGACATATGACAAGAATAAATATCAAACACTGCCTTCAAAGATATGCTTAAGAGTCTATAATATTTTGGTGTTTTTTTTTTTTAAAAACACAAAATTATATTTCCAAGAATTTTCTGGTGATTACTACTATTTTTTGCTCTGGGCAAGTTGGTGTACATTTTTCTTCATGTAGCTTTAGGTTGGATTCATACTATTAGTTTTGTTAGCTCCATTAGTATATTCTGAAAATAAAGATTAGGGTGCTTTTCACTGAAGAAGCCAATTAAACACTAACACTGCAACTACATGATTTCACATCTGCTTTCACCTAAAGGTTTTTAACATTTTGACTAGATGTTTTGTTAAATAATTAAACTTTGTATGTCTTACGCACACATTTTAGGTCATTTAAATGTTTTCAGTTGTTTAAACATTGTCATCACAGGATTAGGTAATTGTAAATGATGACATTTCTGCAATATAATAAATATTGGTATTTTCAAATAAAACTCATATTACTCATGTCAACTTAACTCGATTAACTTTACATTCCTCAATAATTTGTTGATACTCTTTATCCATTTATAAAGTAAATATGATTTTTTTTAACCAGGAATCAAACTCAGGACCTTATGTTTACGAGGCAGGCACAACACTGCTCCTCAGAAAATATAAACTTTTTAAAAACAGAAATCTTACTGTGTTCCTTTTCACATTTATTTCCAATCTCTTTTCCCTTATTCTTATCCTAATGTAAATATGTCTGTGCTTGTGTTTTGTTGCTCTATCACAATTTATCTTTCTCTATATCAAAAATATATAGAGACAAAATATTGATTCGTAACAAAATTTAGAGGAAAACTGAATTTCAACAAAAAATTTTCCCCTTTCTGAACCAAATTAGTGTATCTATAGGTAAATATTAATTTTTGTTTGAATAATGGTATTTACAAATAATGATCATTTTACTGCACTGGCTAGGACTGCCTGCATAGTATCTAACAGAACTTTTGATTTGTTCCTAGTCTTAAAGGAGGGCTTTGCAAAATTTCAATGCTAAGATGAATGCTGCCACTGACTGTTTTTCACATGGTCTTTATCAGATTTAGGAAGTTTCCTTCAACACTTAATTTGGTGAAAAACAGGTGGTGATGATGATGGTGATGATGCTGTTCATAAATGCTTCTTATTCATCTCCTGAGTTGATCTTATCAAACTCTACTTCTTCATCTGTTATCATGTTGAAGTGCATTAATTTGTTTTTCTCATTGAGTTTATTGGTACATTTTAGGTATACAGTACAGTTACATTCATCATTGGGATCTTATACCTTTACAGGACAGGTCTTGGTTCTCATTTTTTCCCCTTATCCTTGCCCTCCCTTTACCCCTCTTCTCTTCCCTATTTACAAAGACTTTGTTTCCATTTTTTCATTTTCTCATATTTTTTCTTTCCCTTCCCACTTTCCCTACACCTTTAGCCCTTTTTTTCCTATTTCATATTGTCAATTATATCATTAGGATCTTATGCACAGTTAAACTTTTTCACACAAGAGAAACTATTTGGTATTTACACGTGTGACTTATTTTTTCCACTTAAGACTATATCCTCAATATGCATCCATTTTCCTATGAATGACTCTAATTCCTCATTCTTTATGGCTGAGTAGTATTCCATTTTATAGAAAAACCACATCTTCTTAATCCACTTTACAGTTGATGCTGTTTTCAAGTTTTAGATATTACAAACTGTGCCACTACAAACATGGGTGCGCATATATCACTGTGGTATGATTCTTTTAATTCTTTTGGAAAGATATCCAGCAGAGGGATGGCTGGGTCAAATGGAACCTCTAGTCCCAGCTCTTTGAGGTATCTCCATATTGATTTCCACAGTGGTTGCACCAGTCTGCACTGCCACAAACAATGGAGAAGGGTTCCTTTCTCCCCACAACCCCGCCAACATTTGTTATTGGTTGACTTCTTGATAGCAGCCACTCTTTGTGGGGTGAGGTAGAATCTCAGTGTTGTTTTCATCTGCATCTCTTGAATGACCAATGATGTGGAATATTTTTTTCATATATTTACTTGCTGTTTTTACTTCTTTGTCTGAGAAATTTCTGTTCATTTCAGGTGCCCATTTTGAATTGGGTCTTTATATTTGGGGGAGCTGATTTTTTTCAGTTCTTTATATATTCTAGATAGGAGTCCTTTGTCTGAGGAGCAGCTGGTAAACATTTTTTCCCACATTGTAGGTTGTCTCTTAGTTCTGCTGATGGTTTCTTTTGCAGTGCAGCTTTTTAAGAAGATGAGATCCCAGTTGTTGATTGTTTGTGCTAGTTCCCGTTGCTACTAAGGATTTGTTCATAAAGTCTTTTCCTGTGCCAATGTCTTCAAGAGTTCTGCCTAACTTATCTTCCACAAAATTTAGTGTCTTTTTTTAATATTTAGATCTATAATCCACTTGGATTTTAGTTTAGTGCATGGTGAAAGATAAGGGTCTAGTTTTAATCTTTGGCAGGTTTAAATCCAGTTTTCCCAACACCATTCATTAAAGAGGTTATCTTTCCTCCACTGTGGAAGGTTGGTTCCTTTGTCAAAGATGAGGTAGCTGCGTACATCTGGAGTTGTTTCTGTATCTTCTGATCTATCTCAGATCTGTTTTTTTGCCAGTACCATTCTGTTTTTATCACAGTGGCTTTGTAGTATAGTTTCAAATTGGGAATTGTTATACCCACTGCCATGACTCCGTTGCCTAGGATGGCTTTTGCTATTCTAGGTCTCTTCTGCTTCCAAATGAATTTTTGGATTCTTTTTTTTTTTCTAGTTCTGTGAAATATACTGTTGGAATTTTTATCTGCATTGCATTGAATCTGTATAGCAGTTTTGGTAGTATGGCCATTTTCACTCTGTTGATTCTTCCTACCCAGGAGCAGGGGATACCTTTCCATTTTCTTATATCCTCTTCAATCTCTTTTTTCAGAGTACTGTAGTTTTCAGTGTAGAGATCTTTTGCTTCTTTTGTTAGGTTGATTCCTAGATACTTCATTTTTTTGGATGCTATTGTGAAAGGAATTGTTTCACTAATTTCTCTCTCAGTGAGTCTGTTATTTGTGTACAAGAAGGCTATTGATTTTTTAGTACTGACCTTGTATCCAGCTACTCTGTTGAAAGTGTCAATTAAGTCTAGAAGTCTTTTGGTGGAATTTTTGGGGTCTTCAATGTAAAGCATCATATCGTCAGCAAATAAA